TGAGCGGGGCTGTAGCTGGTGGCCTCCGTGTGGGGCTGACCTTGCTGTCTCTCTCCTGTAGTCGCTGCCCTAGAACATGTAACAGAGCCCCACCTTCAGGTCTGAGGTCCACCGACCGTGTCTGAGTTGGTCTAACTTTTTTGGGGTGGTGGTTTGCCTCGGACGAGCATGGAGCAGGCAGAGGGAATGTGGCGGAGGCACAGAGTGCCCATTAGGCACACCCGTTCTGTGGCCTGACTTTGTGGTCCCTCAGTGCCGACCCTGCCCTCGCCAGCCTCCCGAGGGCTCCCATTCATGGCTTCTCCCAACTTTGGCAGGGCTCTTGGCGGCTCTACTGTTCCTGTGGCCAGGGATCTCTGAGTGCCCCGGCAGGCGCCCTGGCCTGGCAGAGAAGGACTTCGGGTTGTTGTGGGTTTGGGAGATATTTTTACCATCCTGAGTATGCCTGTGATATAATGGTACCCAGATAGGCTGCGGGCAGGCAGGTGGGAGTGCCTGGCGCTGGGTATGGCACTTGGCATGGGTGCTGAAGGCCAGGCTGGAGTCTGAGAGTTTGTGTTCGCCATGTAGGCGTGGGCTGTCTTGTGACCCAGGGCAGGTCACTCACTTTCCAGGCCCCTGGTCCCACAGGGCTGAAATCAAGATCCCATTCAGGTTTTCTGCCACTTCTCCCCGTCTCTGCAGGGCCTGGTATGAATTCGAATAAGATGGTATCTGTGAAAAGTGACGTGGTCCTTCCTGAGGAGGGCCTGGGGACATATCCATCAGTGTCACTTGAGCAGAGCCCCATATATTATGTTGTTTTGAGGTTCCTGTCCGCAGACGTAGGCAACCAGGCTTGTTCAGCCATCTTCACCTTGAAGCCCCCTTAGGGGGAGAGCCCTGAACTCTGAGCCTGGGAGACAGAGTCTGTTTTGAACTTCCTCGGGGTGTGACCTTGGGTAGTCCCATGAGCTGCTGAGCTTCAGTGCCCCTGCCTATAAAATGAAGGATGGGCAGGGATTAACTGATCGCCTGAGGCCCTTCAGCTCCAAAGACCCTGTGGCTTTTGAAAAGCTCCCTTGGTACAGCTGACCTCCTCTCTCTAGGACCCTCTCAGATCCTAGCTATGCTGCCTCTGAGGGGCCAGGAGCAGCAGCAGCAGCAGGAGTAGCTGGGGGAAGGGATGCTATTTTTCATTTCGATTTGAGTGCTGACTGTCTCCATCTTCTAGTCCCTCAAGGTCCACAGATTGACATTCAGACGGGCTTAATTGGGCAATGGGCCTCGTGCCCCCTCTTTCTGTCTTGGTCCCAGCAGAATGTGGGAGGTCCCCAGGAGGAGCCCACTGGTCACCTGCCTTCCCTGGGCCCACAAAGGCACATTTGTGGCTGACACTGGTGAGGTCCCTTGTACAGGGGACACAGCCACCTGAGAAAAGTTTGACAACAGCCTCGAGAAGATTCAGTTCTCTACTGTTCACTCCCTGAGAATCGGTGAGTTCTCGCTGATGAGGACGCTTAAGTGGGAAGAAGCACAGGTGTGGTATCATTTTGTCTGGACTCCTCTGTCCCCTGCCCACAGGGCCTGAGACCTGGTGCTTGTCAGTGCTGCATGAGTGGGCTTCTCCCTGTGCAAACCTAAATCCCCTTTGCTGCACTTGTCATCTGCCCTCCCCCGTCTCAGGCTGTGTCTCTCCTTAGGTGGGTCCCCTTCAGAGCTTTGGAGACTTCTCAGTCTCTAATTTGGCTGATCTTCAGACACCCTAAGGAAGCCCATTCCCCTTTATGGAAGTTCCCGAGCTCTCTGCAAGCTGTGACTAACAAAGGCTGCCTCAGTCTGTGGCCAGCTGCGAATGGGTGGGAGGGCATGGGTGGAGGCCAGGACAGGGCATGGACTGAACCGTGGCAAGTCCCTGCTGCCAATGTCATGATGTCCCAGGAGGACCACAGGTCATGCTTGAGCCTTGGGGCTGAGGTTTGCCATGGCCCTCTTCCTTCCCACTCACTCCCTCGCACTGACCTCCCCTGTCAAGTTAAAATCCAGTGGGTTGCTCTGGGCTGGGCCACTTCTCTGGTTCCTCCAGCTGGAAGGTTCTCCTTTCTGTGTGCTTTCCAGTTTTCTCTTTGATGGAGCCTGGCATTTCTCCCTACAAGTCCTGGATGATCCCAAAAGGATCCCCAGAAGCAGCACCCTAACATGTAGATGAGTACGTCTTAACTTGAGATCCACAGACGGCCTTCAGGGGTGTCCATCAGCTCCCGAAAATTATGTGCAAAACTTACATGGTTGTTCATTTTCCTGGGAAATTAGTCTAGGGGTTTTATCAGATATCCCAAGGGGTCCTTGGTCTAAGAAAGTTAATATCCACTGGACTGTAGTGTGGCTGGAGGGCCTGTGGGGGGCACCATGGGGTAGACTCCAGCTCAGCCAATTTACAGGGATTTCCACTGTGCCTCATCTGTGCTGTGGACTATGGGGGACACCGTATAATCATGATAGTTTAATTGGTCCCAGAATTTCACTACACTACCTCTCTTTTTTCCCCTTCCTTTTGGTAGAAGCTTGAGGTCAACCTTGAACCCCTGATTTTCCACCTCTCTAAGTGGCAGTGGAAGAATATCTTGGTGGCTGACATGACTATATAAAGCTTTCTGGGTTCTTTAATGTAATGCAGCAAGCATTTATCAATCACTTACTGTGTGCCAGACACTGTACTTGGTTATGCCTTGAACTTCAAGAAGCACTGTTTACATAGACTGCATTGTGAATGACACTGGAGGGAGAGAGAGAAATAAGGGCCTTTCCCCAAGGAGCACTTAGCTTAGTGGGAAAGACAATAATGACCATCCAGTATGTGTTCAGTGTCCCCATAGAGGGGCAATGGGAACATGGTAGAGGGGGTACCTGAGTCTGGAGGATTGTAGGAAAGGGGTCAGGTCAAAGGAGGCTTCCCAGAGAAGTTCAAACTGAGTCTAAATGAGGAGGAAGAGACTTGCCTGGGAGATTAGGAATGGGAGGTGAGTTGGGGGTGAGGAGGGACATTTCAGATGAGTGACAGCAAGGAACAGAGTAGGAAAGAGCATATCAATAGTTGAGTAACAATAGAGTGGAGGGTGTTTGGGGTATTGAGGACAGTGAAAGTGAGACCTCAGGAGGCAGGCAGAGGCCAGATGATAAAAGGTCTAACGTGTGGCAAGAGAGTTGGGCTTCACCCTGTGAGTGATGAGAGTTCTTGACAAATGTAAAACAGGAAATGGAGAGAGGAGAGTACAGAGTACCTACATATGCAGACCTAGCTCCAGATACTTACGTCCTAAATCCTGTCACTTGAGTAAACCTGCAAGTAAGCATTCGAATCTTCACCTAACAGACCTGAGGCCAGGCTTGGAGTGGTTAAGTGGTTGATGCAAGCTGATTTGGCTGTTAAGACGGGGACCATTCTTCTGAGTGATGGGTATGTCTGGCTGCAGGGATGGGGTGGGAGGGGGCACTTCTCCTGTGTCTCCTTCCAGAACCATATCTCTTGCGGCCTCCCTGGTACCAATCCCCGTCCTCTAGCTCTCATATAGCATTCTTCTGAAAAAGCTGTTGCCCTGACGATTACGGATGGTCATTGCACAACAAGATTAATGTAATTGATATCACCTGAAAAATATCAAATTGGCAAATTGTTGTGTTATATATATATTTGTTATTCTTAGGTGCCGTCAAGTCCATTTCCACTCTTAAGGACCCCATGTGACAAAGTAGAACTGCCCCATAGGGTTTCCTAGGCTGTAATCTTTATGGGAGCAGATCGCCAGGTCTTTCTCCTGTGGAGCTGCTGGGTAGGTTCGAACCACCTACCTTTAGGTTAGCAGCCAAGTGCTTAACCATTGCACCACCAGGGCTCCTTATTAACGGTAAC